TCCGCATACGGTATCGTTGAAACAGGGTAGCACTTAGGATGGGTATCAGGAGCTCAGGGCTGCACGGAGCCGTGAGATGTCAATCACAGTAAAGGTGAATTTCGCAAACCAACCACAAAATAACCACAATGCCACTTTCTGCGTCTGTCGTGGATTGTTTACAACTCGGTATTACGTCAGCAGGCAATGAAAATGTGATGTGACTGCAGGGAATGATGCTGCCATAAAAATGCACTGTGGCAGCAGGAGCTGTGCTGCAGTTTGCAGGAGGAATGACTCCACAGGAGCATTTTTGAATAATGAGTTCTATAGTTATTATTTTTTAAAATTAGCCAGTGCCCATTCACAAATAGAGCTATGGTAGCAAATGCAGCTCAGTCATAGGTCAGTTTCTAACACTTTTGTTTGAAGTGTTACCACATTTTACAGATAACCACTCCTGTAATTGTGGCTGGAAAGTGAGTGTTTCAAGTTGTTGTCATATTCCTGTAGTTGTTTTTCTGTATGGTCAGTTAAGCTCAGCTCTGTAAGGAGGTCCTAGTGTTTGGACCATATAGATCTGACTGTAAGACCAAGCAAGCCGAAGCTTTTCCCTTTTTTTTTGCCATGTGAGTTTATCATACATCAACAGGAAGAAAATGTCATTTAAAGGAGCAGAGCAACATACATATAATGCCAAAAGTATTGTTGGGGATCCCTGCCAGATCAGAGATCCTAAATTAATGTAGCCCTTGAGTTTATTACTCTATTAAAGTGATGAGATGGCAAATTCCAAGCATGGACCTCTGAAGAAAGGGATAAAGAATTTGTAGGCTGATACATGCTGGCTGCTTTGACATCTCACAATTTGGGAGGCAGGTCATCTCAGTTGTGTGAGGTAATAAGTCATGCATTTTTTTGTAGTCAGTCTGGATTATCTTCCAGCAAGCTTGTTTCCAATAATAAATGTGGCGTATGTGGTGTAACAGGATTTTGAGGTTTGGCTCTTTATTTTGCTAGGCTTCTGAGGCTGAGGTGACTGAGGCTGTTGGCCTGAAATGGTAGCTTTATGGTACATAGGAGCTTCCATTCAGATGAAGTAGCAGCCTGTCTACCCAGTGATGTAGGGAGTAAGGGAAGGTAACAGTTAATGCTTGTTTGATGGCTTTGATTTTTATCATGACATCATATTCAGTGAACAAAAGATGCTGGCTGTTCTGAAGAGCATCTTGCCACTTTTATTAGACCAGCCACTGATCTCAGAGCTGTCATGTGTGGTACATTACATACATTATCTCAGATTAAAAATTGACATGTTAAATGCTAATATCTGAAAACACACATGAGCTGAAGAGCTACATGTCCCATTTGACTTCAGCATTCTCCTAACTTACTTTACACATTCATTTGGTGTGAGAGGGACTGATGTATTATTAGCTGCTAGCTTGTGAGAAAACTAGGGAAATTTAGTAGGTTTTGTGAGCCTTGATTTGTTATAATAGGATATGAACCCTGATTTTTTTCAGTGTAATGAGGGAGTTCTGTCCTGATGCAGCTGGTACTTTTGTCCTGCTCCAGAAAAATGTGGAAGTGCATTGTTTAATTTGATAGTTTTGCTGGATCTTGAGGATAGCTCAGTATCCTGTGGAATTAAATTCGAGAATGAAAATCTTGGGAAAGAAATCAGTGCTCTCCAATGTTTTTCTCCCCAAACAGGTATTGCCTTTTACCCAGGCAAGGCTCAGCTGCTCAGCTGCAAGCATCATTACTATGATCACATTCCACCTCTGATAAATCCAGGTCAGCCAGGACACATTGAATGCATCACTCAGAGAATCAACTACACAGATCCTTTTACTAACCAAACTATGGTAATACAACAAAGCTTATTTGGTGTGGGTTTTCTGCTCATAATTGTATTCGATGGTAAAAATATTTACTACGTGCTGTGAGAAATCCTTGCTTCTAGTTTTTTTCAAGCCATCTGTCCTTTTGTTTTCAGAAGTGTAAAAGACCCCAGTCAGTGTGTATATGTGTCATGGCAGATCAGCTGTCATGTGGGTGTGTGCAGCACAAAAACTTGAATGGGATAAAAAAAGTCGTTTTTCACAATTAAACTCTTGCCTCATTCTTCTCCTAAATGAACTGGGAAGCATTCTCCTTGATATTGTGAACCTATCGCTAATTGAAAGCAGTAGCAGTTATTCCATTAAAGCAGGATAGCTAATCTCCTTTTGCATGTTTGCTGGGAATTACATGCTGTATTTGTCACACTTGGAAGGATCTTAAATGGACACCAAACGTTTCATTGCACTGAAATGCTGTGAGCCAGCAAGATGGGTACATGGACTGGTAGTCTGTCTGAAATTGCCCTTAAAAATGCAGGGAAGCTAGCTGCTGTATAAATGAATGTTCCAAACCCACAAATGACTGTAATTAATGGTTTAGATAAAGTGATTGCTCAGATCGTTTTTAAGGAAACTAAACATGAACAAAAAAACTATGTCTAGGTACCTGTTTGGTCAGCTTTGTTCTTCATGTTTTTCTTCTCACCTAGTCACCATTTCTTTTGGGAAGCAGCTCCTTAGTACATTTGAAAGTAATATTCCGGGTGCTAGTCTAATTTAATTTCTGCTCCTATACGCTCTTTTTGCATGCTTTAACAAAATGAGAAAGTACATTTTATGCTGTGTTGTAGATTCATTCAGAAGCTTGTGAAGCAATAGGCTCTAGTCCTGCAGTGGAATGGAGAGGCACTGAGGCAGATTCTCCACATCAGACTCCACATTAACTTGTTTCGTGTCAAGAGCTGAAAGTTCCAAGACTTTAATGCTCAAAACAGTTTTAATTGTCCTAATGCAGAATGTAGGGCCTTGGCTGGTAATTTCACACAAACCCGAAGGATGATGATAGAATTAAAGCAGATTTCTTAAACAGGCTAAATCTTGATGTAAAGACTAAAACTGAACTAAAAGGAGGCACTCCATTGGCATTCTTGTTAGATATTTAATAGATGTGTACTTTGTAGTGGCCAAGAAACTCTGGATGTGTATTAAATTTCTATATAGTATTAGTGCCAGATGACAAATCCATGGACAGGAAATGAGGATTCCTTTGCTACTCTCACCATCTCTCTGTTTGCTTACAGAAGCATGCTTTGGTTGTTCAAGGCCCTCGTGATGTGAAGAAGAAGGAACTGGTGTTTTTGCAGTTTCATTTAAATGAAACAGACCAAGATTTTAGTGCCATTGACTACCTTCTGTTTTCTTCTTTCCAAGAGTTCGTCAACAGGTACGTAAAGGGATGAGCCTCTACCTGCATTGACCTTGCTACAATACCACTTGTGAAAACAGGGCTTTTCAAAGTAAAAATCAAACAGAATTTTATGTGGTTTTTTTAATGCTTGGGCTGTGCTGGTGCTCTTTCATGTCTTTGTTTAGTACCCTCACTTTTTAGAAAATGCATCGAGGACTTTTTCAGTGACAAAAACTGTTCTTCAGCTGTGCTTCAGCCATTTGTTGCTGCACTTTCTAAGAGTTTGAAGTTTGTGCTGTCTTACTGCTGTCTGCTGGTGTGGGTGATTAGGAAGTGTGTTGTCCTGGGCGGTGTGTCAGGAAGTGCACCAAGAATACTAATATTTCTGTACCATCTGGGGTTTTTTTAAAGCAACTGCTGTAAAGATCAGGTCCCTAGACTCATTGGTTGTGAGTTCATTGGAAGATTAACTGTATTGCTTTGTGTTACTGGCTCTGTGTAGGATTCTACAGAGTGATGTAAATTCATGTGTGGGGTTTTCAAAACTATTGGTTTGACATTTGGTGCCATTGGAGTGACTGATCAACCTCTTTCTAAGTTTAAAAAGAGTGGAATTAATTCTGTCTTGAACTTTCTGGGAAGCCCCACCATTCTTCCCATATTGGGAGAATAAATTTCATACCTGTTTAATTTTTGCTTTAATTTACGTTCAAGTTCTGTTCTCCTCTCTGTGATCCAGATTAAAAGCTAGACCAAAGATACTAGTCACAGTGACATCTGATAGGAAACCTTAATGTGGTAATAGATGCTCAGTGAAAAAGGGACTGGGGGTAAAAGACAGATGTAGAACAAAATTAGGTGAGGGAGGGGAAGAGAAATAACAGATTTTATTGTAGCAAAGCATTCTTGGAGGCTTGAACTTATTATAGTGGTTCTCTTCAGACAGAGCAAAGACTGGAAGTGTTCAGTTGCAGTATCCCTGGGTGGCCAAAAGGCCAGTTACCTGAATTTGCTTTTTTACAAAGTGTTTCTACTTCAGTGAAGTAGAAAAGAGATCTGAAGACTCAGATCTCTTAGTCAGAGATGTTTAGTCATTAAGTGCTGTCTGTAACTGTACTAAAATACCTTATAAAATGCTAATGTTCTGGGTATTTTAGGCATTGATATTTTAGGGCAGGCAAACATCAGTTAAGAGTAATGATGTAGAAGGTGATACTTGTTCCTTACGTGGTTTTTTTTCCTCAGTTTTTGTGGCTTGTGCTGTGGTTAGAAACATGTACAGGTACAGTGGGATCACTTCCAGCAAGGTGCTCAGCTGTTGCTGTGCTGCAAGACACAAGCACTGTCTGAGACCACCCCAGGTGAAACACAGAGCACAAGTGATGGTTGTGTTGTATCTGGTTCCTGGCTCTCTGCAGAATGAACCATCTTACCCAAGACACAGCTTGCTCTGTACATCCTCAGGTCTTGCCAACCTAATTTCTGTACTTGTTGTATCAATTTGCAGATAAGCCATTTTCAGGAGCTGTTTCTTCCCAAGTTAAAACACATATGTCCCACTTACATTGGCAGTATTTCTGCAAGGAAGCTGCAAGGGTGTGAGCTGCTGGCCCATGTGCCACATGTTGTGCAAAGGCAGGTTGGATGTGCAAAACAGGAGTGTGCTTATTGCAAGGTTCTGAGCTTCAAGGCTGTGTTTGTGCCAGTATAGGTGAATTGGTAAGAAACATGTGTAAGCTGCCTGGGAGAAACCTGGATCGCAACCTTCTTCCTCCAGGTTTGCCAGGTCATAGTGGTTAAATGGCAGAAATAGTCCCTGAAAAGGTGGGGAAGTGTGACTTTGTTCCTAGAGAAGCTGCCTCCTCTCAGTGTTTGGAAAGCACCAGAGCAGAGGCTGTGAGAGTGAAGGCTGAGCCTGGGTTATGTTTGAAGCAAAGTGAAAAGGGAGGAAATGGTGATGTCTGGGGATGCATCCTTTGTGCTTGTTTGAATGGGAGTTAGAACTGGTTTTGAGCCAATTTTACCAGGTGAGTGGTAAAATTGACAAAGGTAACAGGCCTTAGTTGTAAATGATCTGCATGTCTAGATGAAATACAGGAAGAGAACCAGTTGTAGGCAAGAGGCCAATAGTGTCTCTTTTACAGGATCCTCCAAAGCTTGGTACAAATTGTGTGGCTTGTCTTGCTCAGTACTGTACTTGCTGTCCTGGCATCCTGGGGCATGAACTGGACAGGCTCAGAGCAGGTTGGAAGTTTATATTTTCTCCTGACTATGGACTGCATGTGAAGCTGGATACATTTGTAGAGTGTACTCATTCTGTCCACCTTCCAGCAGAAGAGAAAATAGAAATGATTTCTCGTTCATCAGCAGATGCTAAATTTAGTTGATGGGAAGTCTGGACTAAGATATCTGTCGAAACTGTTGCGTGTCCTTCCATACAGCCTCTAAAAACTTCAATTCCTGGACTCTCTTAACTACTTTTCCTGACAGAGTATCTCACTTACTGGCTATGAGAGCATAGTATTAACACTGTGTCCAGCAATTCATGTGCAGTGTTACCAGAGATGCTGAGATCTATGCTAAAGCTCACGAGATATCATCATTACCTTTACAGTTTTTTTTGCTGTGGCTGCAAACAGCTTATAGACTGCTGGGCTGGGCAGGCAAACTGATGTGAAATGTCTATGTAGGGTGTTCCATCATCTCAAATCACAATCTAAACCCCCTGGAAATGAGTGAGTCCTGCTGTATCTACACCACAGTTTCTGTGTAGACAGTATCATGCACAGCTCATTTTTGCTTTATATACCAATAATGGTATCAGTGAAGGCTACTGCAAGCATCAGCCACAAGCAGTAATAAAAATTGCATCAAGAGACTTTGATCTTTGAGGGATTTTTTTGTGGCACAGCAAGTGATGAGGACTCAAGTAAGGTCCAGTTGTTTCTGTTGAGGATTTTATTCTCTGCAGCTTTTCTGTTAAAATTGGATGGACAGACTGCATGAAACTGGCACTGTTCTCTGGCTGAGTTCTGGCCTCCACAAAACACTGCTGCACTGTGTGCTGCTGTTGGCCTGTGAGTTAGAGAGACACTGCTGCTGCCTTCTTTTCTTTTTTTAAGACAGTGGCAGCTGATGTCTGTACCATATTAATTGGAGAGAAGGAAATAATGAAACTCTTGCAAATTGCCAGAAAGTGTGGCTAAAAATACAAGTTCCTTTCCTGAACTGTCATTAGTGTAATACATGGGTTTTAGAAGAAAATCCTCTGAAGATATTACTGATAAAACTATTGTTAGTGTAGTATGTAAAACAAGTTGTGGTCGTGTGACATGATGGATATCAGTCTGAAGAGATCAGAGATGATTTAAGGGTCCATGTTCCTGTCTCTGATCTGGTCTGCTGTGGACAGAGAAACAAATTATAACATAGAAGGGTTGGGACTTTTGGTACCGCACCAGCTGACCCTTTCTTAGATCCTGTGACTTTCTGAGAGTTTCCTGGTCCAGGGAAACACAAAAGCAGTAAACACAAATTGTGTTTGAACCATCTGTGGTTTTGGCTCTTGCTGTTGGAGTGGCATCCACTGGCGGGATGTCCAAGGCTCCCTCTGGCTCACGTGGTTTGGACCATAGAGACTGGTGTTAAAAAGATCCACTGCAGCACTACTGTCCAGTCCAGAATTTGGTCCCACAGCTGAGACAAACACAATCTCTCCTGTGCTGGGCAATGAGCCCCTGTTAGTAGGTTGAAATTTCAATGGTTACCAGAGAGTATTGGTTGGGAGAAGACCAGAACTTTGTACTTCACCTGAGTTAAGACAGTGGCCTCTCGCAGTTCTGTTTCTCTGCTGTGATTTAGTACTTTTTGCATGGTTTTGAGGCACCATTAATATCCTAGGAGAGCCTGGTGCAGAGTATTCCAGGAACCTTACCATGTATCTGAAGGACAGTGTAATAGGTAGAAGAACTTACTGGAAAATAAAAAAAAGCAACCAACCAAAAAAGAAAAAGAAAAAACAACTAAGAGGGAAAAAAAGTGCAGCCTTTGCAGATTGTGTCTTTGAGGTGAAGAGGGAATTAAAAGAAACTGCCTGGAGAGTTATTCTTCAGCTTAAAATCCTTTGCTGGTCTGGTGTTCACACAATTGTGTGTGGGGTTTAAGCTGCATTATTTGCCCTCTGCTATCATCTGGGCAAAGCTTGTGTCTCTACTGTGCCCCTTCTGCCCCCTCACTCTGTGACAGTGGGCTAAATCATGGGCACATGCAAGGAGATGCCGTCTCAGATCACTTCTCCACAGCTTCTCCTAGGATATCATTAATCCCTCTTTTTCAAGCCTACAATTACTGTTGAAGGCAAAGTATACTACTGCTGTCTGCCTACCATGTAAGTTGTGGCTGTAGTGTTCAGCTCTGTGTCATAACTTCCTGCCTCAATTTTCCATGTGGGCTTGGAAAGCTTTTCCAGGATGCTGTATTTGGTCAGACATTAGGCATATGACTGGCGGGCAGAGTGCTAATTATATATGTTCCTCTTGAGTGACAAAGCACTCCCCTGCTCTTTCGTACTGTCCCACCAGCTGCTGCTCTGCACACATCCTACTGTGGGAAGAAGTTGATGTCAGATTAGGTCTCCCTGTTGTCTGGTTTGTATGGTGAGGAGCAGTCAGACTCCTCACTCCTAAGGATTTTCTTCTTATGCTTTGCCCGCATCTTCCTTGAGCGACTTAAAGAGGTGCACTGCCATCTTGTTGGGGTCACTAAACAAGCACCTAATGTCACAAATAAAGATACTCCTAACTTGCTAAAACATCCTCAGAATAGGATCTGTCTTGATGAGCAGTCAGTTTTTCTTTCCAGGAACACTTCTCCTTCCTGTTCACGTGTGCAGTGGAATTTTGTGTTTGAGCCCGTGGCCTGAAGTCCTAACTTGAGATCAGTGGCTTTGCTGGGATTTGCCTTCCTATGACCGTGTCTGTATTCATCTACGAAGCCTGAGCAGGCAGCATAGTACAGAGTAGTCATCAGTGTCATATTCTTATTACCAGTGTGTGCTTTTGCTGCCTTGTAGACAAGGCCCCTTGGTTTGTAGGAACAAAAGGAGCCCTGATTTTGAAGACTAAGGAAAAAAAGACAGGAAAATTGCAAATCCAGCCAGTATTGGTTCAGGACAATCTTCCTGATTGGCCTGTTCTCTGGGACAAGAGCTTGCTTCTTCAGCTCTGCCATTCTTCTCTACTTCTTTGCATCTTTCTCCTGAAAGACCAAGACACCTTAATGTCCCATTTGACCTGGTCGTGTGCACCCTTTGCCATGCAAGCGAAATATACTCTTTACCTGCACCTAGAAAAATGGATTTAGTCTGGGTCAAAACCTTGTTTTAGGGACCAGCATATGCTGACATATCTCTGCAACCTGAAATCTGTCTTTAGTAAAAATGGGCAGTATGGGCTTTAATGATTCATGACTCATCATAGTGGTTTACCCCTTCTTCTCAAATGAAACCGTGTTGGAAAAGCAGCTGCAGAGCTAGGGATGACTTGAAAGTGGCTAAAATGACAGTATTGAGGAACTCCAAGTAAATAGTGTGGTTAATTTACTGTGTCCCGTGCAGTTAGTAGAGAAGAGATGGAGACCAGATATACCTTAAAGCTGCCTCTTTACTGCTTGCTGCATGAAGGGTATTGGAAGGCTTAAAATAGCTTACAGTCACAGTATTAAAAAAACACCAAAGCAAAACACACAAGCAATGCTGCTCATCTGGGGGTTACAAATATCTGAGATTGCATTTTGGGGACACAGCCATGTTATTGCAGGTGGGAGCCTTACACCAAAGGTGTAATGTTTCCAAATTAATAGGAATATACTGAATGTAAATGCCAAAGCATTTTAGGCATGTCTGCATTGCAACTGGTTTATTTGGCAACCAGTTTATTTGCATCCCAGAAATGAGGTGAAGCAGCTTGCTCTGCCTCTAGGCTCTTCCTTCTGTCTCTTGCACGGTGGGGAGTAGTTTCCTGGCGTTCTGGCTCTGCTCCTTTCTGTCCCAGAGGTGACAGATGAGCAGAACAAAACTCCCCTCTAAGGCAGAACAGGGGTCTCCTAGGGGCAGGCAGAGCTCCAGGGTCATAGGGCACCAGGTAAGTCTTCTGCAGTCAAGGATGCTTGACCATGAATGAGAACATGACTATGCACAATGGTTTAGTTATACTGAATTTGGCACTTGAAATATAAAAGGAAGTGAGAATGTATTTTGGAGTGCTTGTAGGCCTGATGTTCTCCTGCCTGCAGTGCACAGAGTTTGGCCAGTAAAGTAATGGTCTTTTTCCTTTAGTCCAGAAAAAGCAAAATTCATGAAGGACTGTGAAAGTTCATACTCCAGCTGGAAGTTTTCTGGAGGCTTTCGAACTTGGGTCAAGATGTCCTTGGTCAAAACCAAAGAAGAAGATGGGAGTGAGACTGTTGAGTTCAAACAAGAGGTAAAAAACAAACAAAAAAACATCATAGTGGTTTTGGACCTCTTAGTTTATTAAGAACCAGTCACTGCCATGATTTTAATGATAACTGGCCAACAGTACCAATTCTTGGGGCAAGTAGCAATAGGAGTTGGAAGAAGGGAGGGTGTGTTGGTTGGTTCAGTAAGTGAAACATCAGGAGCTTTGTTTTTTGTTTCATTGCATCCATTACACCACTTGCCACTGCACGCTTTTGGCTGCACTGTTTCTCGTGCTCTTTCTTTCCATGGAGAGGCTCTGTAAAAGTGCAAATGTCTTGATGTGCTCAGCTGTTGGTGTGGCATAGTGGCACATCCTGGGGACAACATCACCTAATGGGGACACCAGAAATCCAGGCCTGAAATGCTTTGTAAGTGACATCTGTAATCTGAAGTAAGGGTCCAAAGAGACTGACGTGGAAATATTAACACAGCTCAAGGTGGAGAACAATTTCCAAAGGAATTGTCTAAATAACAGCTAGTATTGGAAAGAGGTATTGTTTAGGTTACCACAGAGGCTGATGTTAGGATGAAGAGGTAAATGTAAGCCTTCCATCCTTTGTAGCAGTCTCGTGTCTGCTTTTTGTTTGGGTTTGGAATTTTTAGCTGTTTAGTGTCCTTAGAAACATGGAGTAGCTTTACTTCTTACGTCATTTAAGACTAGAAAATATGCAGATGGAAGATGCAAACTTATCTAGAGAGAAAATGAGTTTAACTTTCATCCCTGTTCTGTTCACACTAACAGACAGGAAAATAATTGTGTTTTGAGTTTGATTTGCTCCCAGTGTTGGCTGGAAAGGAAGTGTCCCATCAGTGATGAAAAATGAGAATTTTAAGAGCAGTCCTTTCCAGAGAGTGTCTCTTTCAGAGACTGTACTTTCTCTTAGTCCATGGCACACTTGGAAAGAGTATCTTGTAGAGAGCAAAACGAAGCAGAAACTTCAGTTCTCCTATCCTTAGTTCTCACAGTTAGGGTGTTACATGGCACAGCCTTAAGGGAAGAGCAGAGTTGTGACTGTGAGGTGGGTAGGCTCCTACTCCAATGGTGGAGGACAGGAGGCAAATCCCAGAGTCATGCAAGGCCCAAGCTAATGCCTTAGTTTGGAGGAGAAGAATGTATCACTCAGCTGCTGCCATGTAAGCACTAACAGCAGTTGTCTGTCTGTCCTTCATCACCTACAGCTCTGTATCACTTGCCATGTGCTGCTTACCAAGTGTAGGATTTTTGAAAGCCCAAGCCTAATGTGTCTCAAAGTAGAAACAAAAGGCTGGCTCAAACTCAGAAAGAAAATAAGCTTTTTGTGACCATAAACATCTATTTAGTTCAGCAGTTGTGGGCTCTGGTCATCAGGGTAGGTGAACAGCGTGTTGGGGTTTTTTTTTCATTTTGTGGGTTTGTTTGTTTTTAATAAAACCTAGGAACTAGGAATCAGATCCCTATTAATAATACAGCAGAAGTTGAAACAGCTCAGACATAAATTGCACTTGCTTTGTTTGACAGTACAACATCTGCTCAAATTGCATGAGGAAGTCTATTAGCCTTTCAAATCTAAAACTGGGAGCTGGCATGCTGGAAAGATGGATCCAAATACTAGGTCAAATAGCACAGTCAGTCACTCTGCTAACTACCCCAGCAGTCATTAATTTGTATTTTCTTCCTTTCCCATTGTCTTCATTTAGTTTTGTGTACTGTTTCCCAGTGTGCAGTTTTCTTGGGTGAGTGTAGTTGGTACCCTGCAATAAGGAAATAAGCTGTACAAGGATGGGGTAAGTGCAGCAAAGGTATTTGACCAGGAAACAGGAGGTGGTGAAGCTCCCATATGCTCTGAATGGACATACATAGTGTTCTAGCTCTTGCTTCTATTTATTCATAGCCTAAAGTCTGGTCAGGGCAGGGACTGTGGAGAAGACTGACACAAACATAGAAGTGTTTGTAAAGAAACTGTGCCATGGTAGATGGCAGGCTTTTGTATCAGGTCGTCCCTCATACAATGGAAAGGCTTGTAAGCAGGAGAAGATAGCAGTCTGTTTAGGGACTCAGCCTTCCTCTGCCTGGGACAGTGGGCACACAAAACATGGAAGGGGCAATTTCTTCCATTGTATGTCTCATCTTCCTGTCCCAACCCTGAAATGAAGTTACAGTGCTGCTGGATTCATCGCTTCCAGATCCGAATTAAACAGCTGTAGGATGAGCAGCAGTACTCCCTTGTGCACACACCAAGATGTCAACACTCCTCTGAGGGCTGGAGAAGTCCTTCCAATGCTGTGCTTTCCTCTTAGGTCACTGTCTGCCTCTTGAGTAGTTTGCATTGTCTCCTAGAACCAGGGGGTAGTGCAAACTGTGTTAGTTACTGCCTGTTTACAAACTCCATGTAGTTCCCCTCCCTGGGCTTGGGGCAAGTGTTACAATACAAATGTTTTTCTGTAGCCTGATGTCTTAATACTTTCCTGATTGTGGCTCTTCAGACTATGATTTTGTGTGGCTGTAATATCAGTCTGGTATCCTAACCCAGTTCCCTGCTGGAATTGTACTACAGCTCTCTGCTGGTCAGCTCTAGTTTCAAGCGGTGACCTAGTTAATGGGCAGCACTGGGAAGTGTGGGTTTGGTTGTTAACATCTGGGCTTCTTTCCTTCCACTTTATTTCTGCACTTGCTGGCACCTTCTGGTTTATTCTGCCACTGATTTTTCAAAAAGGAGGAGTCTCTTTCAGCCACCACTGTATGGGTCTCTGGTAATAAAAAGTAATTTAGCATTCCTTCATGAGAACTTCCCAAATGTATTACTCCAGGTAAATTAATTTTGGTAATTAATTTCCCCCTCTTGAACAGGAACATAAAAATGGTATTGTAGTGTTGATACTGAGTGAGAAATAGAAAAATAATATGGGCATGAGACAGAGTAAACTGTCCTTTCCATATTTCTGGGAGCCCGTTGTTCCAGGCAGAGAAAGGCTGAGTTGGAAGCCCCCAAATAAGACTCATTTTACCTCTGAAGAAAGTAACCTGCACATTTTTTTTCCCTCTTCCCAGACTAGTGTGGTTAACTATATCGACCAGAGAACTAAACCAGGAAGTGATCAGCTGTTTTTCGTGGTGTTTGAGTGGAAAGACCCTTTCATACAGACTGTTCAGGACGTGAGTAACACACTAGTCCCTTTGTGATTGCTGTCTCATGGCTTGTGTGTGCATGCACTTACCTCAGTCCAGGCAGAAATGCAGAGGAAAAGTGAGGTTACTTCAGAAATTTCATGCTAGACTCTTCCTTACATCCAGTAATGCATAGCCTGTGGAGGTCAGGATCATCTGACACCTCTCCTTGGGCTGGGAACACTCAGGATTCTGTTTGCAGCTAGAGATACACAGAGCTAAAAAAAGCACATCCTCTGTATTCTACCAGAGTGTAGCTTCAGGTCAAATCTGAACTTTTTAATTAAAAAAAGTGCTTGGATAAACTGATTTCATGACTTTTTTTCATTAATTGACAAGCAAGAAACTTTGGCTTAAATAAGAATAACAAAAATAGCCTAGTCTACTTTTTATCCATTATTAGAATGCAATTTGGTACTGCATTAAAATGCATAAAAAGTACTTTAAAATTTAGCTCAATGTTCTGCAGCCAGAGGCGTAGGATGTGCCAGACAAGCCTGTGATCAGTCTCTGGAGTGCTTGAAAGGTATGCAGGTGAGTACTGCAGGTACATTGCTGTAAGCATGAGCTAGACCTTGTTTTCCTAGTGTTCTAGGGGAGAAGGTCACATACATTTGCCCTCCCCAGAAAAATGTAGAATGGCAGAGTGTGCAGAGAATCTGTTTTAAATTTTGCACTTAAAATGACCCTACCTGCCAGCTGAGGTCCTGCAGCAGCAAAATCCACAGAGTTCTTGTTTTCTTGGCCAAAACCAGTGTGGATGCAGACTGTGTGGGACAGGAGTCAGGAGCTGATCCTTTGCCCTCCTGCTGTGCTGGACCCAGGCACACCTCAGTCTTAGTCCCACCCCTCTTGCTTCTCTCTGCCAGGTGGGTTTCACAGCTTTGCTGCCTTCCAGCTGAAAGCTGCCCTTGATCCAGTGGATTGGGAGTGCTTGTTTCCTCATGCTGAAGAGGTCATAGCTCACAAGCACTGGCAGCTTTTGGGAGGCTTAAAAATATGGAAAGCCTGTTTAAGACCTTCTGGCTCGGGTGGTGACCTGGTGACACTGCACTCACACTGGCTGGCCCCAAAGTTGGGTGCTGCTGCTTCACTGCTGCCTAAGCCTAGCTCTGCTTCCTTTGTTGGAGATCCTAGAAGTCATCCTTGTGCCTAGAGGTGGAAGGAGAACTATCAATAAACTTAACTGTTCTTGAACCAAACATAGTAAGAAGTAGAAGATACATGCTGTATTGTCTGCAGAAGTAGTTACCATTGTCGAGAGCTGGTTTAGCATTGTATTGCCATCTTGGTAAAGTTTTCTAGTAGTGTCTTCTGGAAGATCTTCATTGTGACTGCTTCTCTTTGTAATAGTCAAATCATACAGTAAGTTTAATAGAAAATTTTAAAATTAACAATTTGTGTACCTCCAAAGTTTTAAACAATTCAGTGTCCTGAAATAGTTTAAAAGGAGTTCAGCACCTAGTACAGCATTTTTCCTTCCTGATGGAAGGAATCAGAAAACACTGGTGTGGGGAGAAGGCACTACAGGCCACCTTTGCACCATAAAGAAATAGGCTGCCAAACACTTCAGCTTGGAAAATGGAATTGTTTGGGCAGTTATGATGATGATGATGATGTCAGATGAGGGGACTAAATATTTTTCATCTCTTTCAGATCATCACAGCCAATCCCTGGAACATGATTGCTCTTCTTTGTGGTATCTTTCTGGCTCTGTTTAAGGCTGCAGATTTTGCTAAGCTAAGTGTTAAGTGGATGATCAAAATCCGAAAGAGACATCTGAAGAGGAGTCGTCAAGCAATGAACCACATAAGCTGAGACTATTTAACTATTATTAGCAGGAGGGACAGAAAATAACTGGAATAAACTTCAGTCAGCAGTTAAAGCTGCAAACCAGGTATGTTTTCTCCCAGAAAGACAACAGCTGGAGGACCAGCCTAGTGAACAGCCTTTGGACTTCAGAAAGGAGCTAACTCTAGGACAGATCTAACAAACTCATGCTTGTCTATTCCCAATTTAACAAGTTTACCTCAATGTATGGGGGAACCAGGGGGAAAGGAGAGAACTCGCTGATGTTCAGAAAGTCACCGCTGGAGTAAATTGTGAACAAGTGGACAGTGTTTGAATGTTTCTCCACCAGCCCATCTAACTTCTGCAGGAGCCATGAGCTGCATCTGCTGCCCTGGCACAGACTCTGCCTCGACTGTGCTTAATGCAAGGGAAGGTACTCTAAAACCAGCCAGGCCTCCCTTCTCCAAAGTATGTCTTAAAACAAAATACACTGGAATTCTCTTACATGTCATTTTTGATTTAAAGTATAGTGACTTTAATATTAAAAAATACTTCCAATAAGATATTGTGTACCTTTTTTGAAGCTACCTGCTCTCGGGTCCAGCTGAGCTGGAAACAGCCTAGGCAGGAGTGTTACTGCACAAGGATAAGGTGAAAAACAAAAAGCTGTTCAGTCCAACTTAAAGGAAACTCAAGCAACATGATAACTTTCTGGGGCTGAGCTGATAGTCATTGTCAAAGTCTGTCTCAGGCTGTTGCTTATCCCTGTTTGCCCCAGTCTTTGCTAAGGAAGTGAAAAAGAGTCTTTCATCAGTCTGGCATTGAATGTGATTCTCAATTATATGGGGAATGCCTCCTAACTAGCTGTGCTGGGGGTGGTGGTGTATTTTTCTTCCTTATAAGTCCCTTGTTAGTGGAGATGCCTGACTTGGATTTTTGGAGTCTACAGGGAAGCAGTGCACCACTGCATGTTTGCTCTGAAGACTTTGCTGCAAGGATGTCAAGTCATATTTTGCTTCTTCCTTCCTCTTCTAACAAAATATGAATATAGGAGTAAGCATATCAGAAGTACCCTTCACCTTTTTTCCCTTTTTTTTTGCTGTCCAAGGGGAAGCATTTTGGAACAAAGTTCACTACTTTGAGCTGATTTCCAGAGCAAATCAAGGCACTGCCTTGACCAAACACAGCCTTAAACAAAGGAGCAACAACTCATTGTAGTAAGATAAAACACCAGCACTGTCTGTTTGGGGAAAAAAGTATTTGTATGGGAGAAAGGTGGTGTCCAGCCACCACTTCCTCTTCAGTGGCTTGCAATGATGGCTGCTGAACAGGGCCAATATTGTACCTGCCTCAGGTGTGCACAGTGAGGGAATGAGATTAAACTGGAAGGGGGAGCAGAGGCCAAACACTGCAGGGCTGAAGCCAACTGAGAGCTACTCCATCCAGAGTGGTGGGGAATAGGACAGAAATCAGGCACGGGATGTGGATAAAAACCCCCACACTTAGACCATCCATATCCAGAAAAACACCATGGATTTTGCTACATCACAGCCTGTGCTGCTAGGACAGCATTCCACTGTGACTGCCCTGAGCAGCTTAGAGCCCTTGACTTTCCCAAATACCTACAGAACAGGCATGCAGCAGTGGAAAACACAGACAACTGACCTTTCTTGATTCCTTGCTGTCAAAGATACACCCAAGTGTTCCTTTAATAAATGATATTAGTAGCATCTGTTTCTTGGATTTTGCAAAAAAAAAATAAATTTGTAAACAACTTGATCAGGTACTGATGGATCCTACTGCATTTTTTTCTTCTTTTTCTGCCAGTGAGGTCACAGAAGGTAAGCTGAAAAAGAACTTAGCCCCAGCTGTGGGGGTACATGGAAGATATGATAAAATAACACATACACTCCTTTCTGCAGTGTTTACTGCACTTTTTGCCCCCACTGAATTCCCCCAGCAGTCCAGTCATAAGACATAGATCTCAGCTGTCAGGATGTTTTGTTTTATAAGGAAATGTTACTAGAGCAGCCCAGCTGATCCCAGCCAAGAAACCTTTCTTTTACATACCACCTATTTATAGGAGTGTTGCACAATTTGGAAAGGCCTCTTATAGCTACTGTGATGTTTTCCTATTAGTCTTGATGTCCATATTTGTAATGTTTTGAACAACTTGTAGCAATGACAGAAGCAAGTGATTTGCTCTTTGTACCCCTGCAAGGTAAGTGTTCCATTCCCCAGGACTGTGGAAGTTACTTCCTTTAGGCTGTAGGACAGCTGAAAATATTTTGTCTCTTGGGAGTGCAAAAAGGCACTACAGCACTGAACTGAGGTGAGCTGTGCCTGCAGGACAGTCCTCTCCCTTCAAACCACCATGAAAGGTAAAGGATTTCCCCACCCCCCAAATTTTGGGCAGCCTGCTACCATGGGCAAAATACTTTAGTCTGCTGATTCTGTAGTCTTTTAATATTAAACTGACAGAGAGCAGCAGCTAATTGGATTGATCTGACAGAGCTGCTGGAAGTGTAAGCCCCTTCAGGCAGTGCTAGTCCCATTTCCTCTGTGAAACAACTACTTAGAGACAAAAATGAAGCAACAATAAAAGTGTAATAAAGTCAACTCAGTGCAACAGAGACTTCCCCCTCCCTGGAACCTGCTTGCATTGTGTCAGTAAACCAGCCAAGCAATAGCTAAGGGAAGCCCAGGACACCTGTTCTGGCCACCACAGAGCAGAGCCAAGCCTTTCACCCTGCTCACCAAAAAAAAAACCACAGCAGCCTGTGCCTCCAACACTTGTGCCACTTGGTGAAAATCCACAGGTGAGTCAGAGACTTGTGCAGTTAAAAAAGGTTGTTCTGAACAGCCATTCTAATTCTCCTGGTCTTCGTAAACACAAAGATGTGAGGTACAGCACTAAATACAAACATAAAGACTTTATTGAATGCTGCTCAATTCCCCAAAAGATCTTTCATTACAAAATTTTTCCACACAACTGCAATTTAAGAGATTGGAATGGTACTCTGATAAAAGATGTGAAAAATACTTGATCAAGTAAACAGACAAGACTTCTATTGTCGACTTCCACCTTTAAGAAACAGACTGCATCTTCTTTAAAGAAAACTATTTCTTGACATCCTTCCCTCATTACTGAAAAAAATTTAATAATGCCAATTTTGGTCTCATTCTTCAGCCCTTGAGATGCTAAAACTAATGCAGAAACATCCAAGATAGTCTCAGCGAGAGACCTGCACTACTCTGCAGGGTCCTTGGGCTGATGAGGAGCATCATTGATGGGCTCTCTAGAGGAAGCTCCATCCTCAGCTGTAGCAGGAGGAAATCCCTAACTAGCCCAGGACTGAGAGGCAACAAGAATGGGGCAGAGGCACTGCCCATCCCAACCTGTTGCAGCTGACTCTCTCCCTACCTTGTCTCCTTCTGATGTGAGCATTGTATAAATCTAAATCTGGCTCCAATCTGGAATTCAAGGACAATGCTGTATCCACCTTCCTTTCACTGCTGTAAGGGGCACATACTGAGTGTCTCAAGTTACTGGTAACGTACCTTGGTTTTATTTGAGAAAATACAGCACAACTAGAAGCCTTTTCTATCATCTTAACCAAAGTATGCAGCGATGTGAAAAGCACATATAAAACAAGGAAAAATGTGTACATAGCAAACTATACCACCTATGTGCAACACAATCAAAAATTCAAGTCATAATTCTCACCACTCCCATAATTATTTCACTCAGTAAGGATGATAATTCATTTCTATGAAACGCTGGAAGTGACAGTATATCAATAATTAGACAAATTTACAATATGTCGTGGTAGTGACATCACTTAGCTGCTGTATTTAAATTCAAATCTTTACATTTGCCAGAGAAAAAATTGGCTGTTGCTATTATACTGATGAGGTTTCTTTTGCAAATCCTTACATATTTCAAAAGGGTACAAAAAAAGAATGTCTGCTGAGTAGAGGTGGTCATTTCTTTTATTTGGCACTTGTATTGTGTGCATTGAGCACATTGTGAGTGCTGTTCTGCTTGTCTGCCATCGCCTTCTTGAGCTTTAACTCCTCTAGCCTTCTCCACAACTCTTCACGTTCCAATTCTTTCTTTTTCTCTCTGTAGAAGAGTGAAGATAGTTAAGTAACTGCATCTCCAGACGGAGTGTAAAACAACTCTGATTTTTCTACTACTTTCTTTTGTAAGCTTTTCTCCAAAGCTAATTTTAGAGGCAGTGACAGTTTCCTCAATTAAAAAGTGAGCACACAAATCAGTAATGGTTAGTGGTGAAACTGTACCTTTGCTCCAGCAAACACAGGCAATTGCTGTAGGGTGGCCTTGCACAGATGGCTGCAGCTCTGAGGAGGTTCTTTATCACATGCCAATTAAGGGACTAAGCATCTTTGGGGGAGAAGAGCAGCTACAGAAAGGAGACTTGGCATGTGGTCTCAGCTGGCCAAGGATAACCTGCACCCTGCCCTGCCTCCTTTATTCCAACAGTGCTGCTCAGTAGGTTAGTAGGGTAGAGAGATGTTTTACTCTGCTCTGAAGCATTCTCCAGCTCAGCTCTCTCAAGACACCCCTGAGGCAGCACAGCCAGCAGCAGCTGAGCCTGTTTTCACCACACAGGGAAGAGCACACTCCCTGCCCAGGCAGGATGGGGAGCTGGGGCCTTCCTGCCACCTCCCCAGGCTTCAGCTCCCCCCACACCACTGACACACACCTGTGTGGGCACTTCATGCACAGGACATCCAGCAACAAACATCTGCTGAGCAGTGCCACTACAGAACCTCACAGCCACAACAACAAACTACATCTTAGATACATAACTCATCATTTGGAAAAAGAACCACTACCTTTGCCTTTCTGCTTTGTATGAGCTTGTGAGTTCATCAAAAAGCTTGCCATTCATTTCCATCAGGGTTTTCAGCACGTTGTACACCAGTGCCACAATGGTTCTGGAACAGAAGCAGCACAGCCATCAGAATTACTCTATGACAAAATTCACTTCAGTAATCAAGTGTTCCATTTCCTTTCTGGACTCTGAGCTTCTTATTCAAGATGCTCCTGTAAGGTCAGTGAGTTTCTGAAACAAAACCCTTTGGATTTTATTAATTTACAGCGGAAATTATAGTATAGTTAAGCATTTCTTGAAATGGCTA